ACACTTGGCATTTGGCAAAGTTGTCTATGATTCTTCTGCTATATATATTCTGCAACTTCTCTCTCTCTCTCTCTCTCTCTCTCTCTCTTCTCTCTCTCTCTCTCTCTCTCTCTCTCTCTCTCTCTCTCTCTCTCTATCTATGAAATTAAAAACCAAATTAGTGCAGAAATTAAGGAACCAATCATATTTCCATTCCTCAGCTTCACTTCTTTCACTGTTCTTTGGGATAGAACTAAGAGGGTATTTTGTCCATAAATTAGAGTCTTGTATTATGGTGTTTTTTTGTTTTTTAGTTTTTGGTTTTAGATTCTCATTTATCATACAATTATATTAATAAAATATATTTATTTTTATTTTTTTAATATTTAAAAAATAAATTCTTAAATTACAACAAACAAAAATCATAAAAAAGATTTCCTTTTCGTTTTTTAACAATTTTATCAACCCCATGACATTGGATTAGAAAGGTTGTCTTGAACCTACCCTTTGTACTGTCTGATGGGTATCAGAATAAGAAATTAATTCATGAAGCTCTGATTTCTGAAGCATCGCACCTACCTTCTCTACTTTTTGTCATATTATTAATTTCTGGTCAGTCAATCAATATATCTGGTCAGTCAACAATATATTATATAATATATATTATATATATATATATAATATATATATATAATATATAATTATTATATGCATATGGGACCTGCCAACGCCCTACGGTTCTACATGATTTTTTGTTGTATCTACTCTTAATAGCAACTTCTGCAGCAGCATATGTATAGAATCTATAATATATATATAATAGGATAATCATTCAGTTCAATCTACGCTATCTAATAAATGTTACGATATATATATTTAAACAAAGGAAGAATCATCATTGTCAAGTTTGAGTGCAAATGATTTCATTCTCAAGTCCATAATTGTGAATTATTCATTCCTTATAATAAGAAAAAAAAAGAAAAAAAATACTAAACATTTGCCCTCTTGACTATGGCCACGACGTGGAAGATGTTTCTTAATTTTTTTTTGGATTTAGATATCAAAAATTTTTACTCTTTTGATTTTAAATGTTAGCTTTTATATCGTTTTTTCCCATAACAACCGTATGCATTTGATTGTTTTTTTTCTCGAAAATAAATTTGAAAATCACAATTCAAACGGCTTGTATGAGAAATAATGCTCAGCATTTCTAAAACGAGAGAATTGAAGTGTTCGAGTTTATGCAGATGATCTTCTTCTCCTCAAAAACATGGAGGCGGTAGCAAGCATGTGATCAGCTCTAGCCACACATGTTATGTCTGGCAGTCAAAAGAAAAAAAAAATTGCAAGGAATAACCACAAATTGCAAAAGCACAGAAGACAGAAAGCAAAAGCCAATACAAAATATACAGAGCAATTCTGAGTCCCATGCGAAACATACTGTTGGAATCAATGGTTCTTTAGGTCTTGAAATGTTTATATTATATAATTGTTTGGTAAAAAAATAATGGGAGACACTGTGTATGCAATGTACGAAGTATTTGAAAGGATGGCTATTATGGGATATCAAGCAAATCTTGTTCTATCACTTGAACAAAAAAGCTCCATGACATGCGACCTGTTAAATCAGCCAACAATGTCACCAAATTGGCTTGGTACCATCTGGTCAGCTGCCTATTGTTGGGGTGCAATATGTCGCCGAGCTCATCTTGGTCGCTACTGGACTTTGCGTATCCGGCTTGCCTCATTTATGTTATCGGATTGCATATTCCTCATCTTTTTTTTTTTTTTTTTTTTTAAATTCTCAAGTATAATTTTATTTGATTTAAATATTAATATACAAATATACTTAATCTTAAGCAAAAACCTATACATAAAAATTTTAAAATTGTATTTTTTATTATTAAATAAAGTTGACAAAAATAGTCCGTTTATTTTGAAAACTGTGCATTTCCACATAATTTGAATGATTGACTTTAGGGTTGGTTGTCCAATAGGTCCTGAGCAGGAACAAGTTTTAGTGTTGTTTGTTGTGAGTAGAATAAGGTTGTCGTAATAGGCAGAATGTTTCTGATTTTGAAGAAACGTGACGTGTTTGTTTACCACGTATGCAACTTTCGTACTGTTCGTTTTGGTCCTGTACTCTTGAGCTGTAAAGTCAACTTGCAATCTGCCATGTCCTCAGGAAGGAGATTCAAGACAATCTCTTCCTGAAAAAAAACAAAAAGAATACTTCCAACACCAATTTGCAGATATGTAATTATACATGTTGCATGGTAACCCTTGTTTAATGAACTAGATAACAATATTTTGTTTTTTGAACAAACAAACAAAACAATAAAAAATAATAACTTTGTGAACTATTGATTAATAAAAATTTAACCTGTATCAGCTGGTGTCTGGGGTTCTTCTAACACTATCAAAATCAACTTCAGCAACTAAGAACCAGCCTCCTGGCAAGAGACTAACATGAGAAAAAAATTTTGCCCCCCCCCCCAAAAAAGCCTCCGCATTACTAATTAGCGGTATTTTTTGGTGCTCTCGTACACACTAAGCGAAGGAAACAGGAGGAACCAAGCCAAACAGTCTCAAACCAGAGGCCGCTGACCAATTTGAACGGATTTCGATTCCAAAGAAAGGGTCAAAAGCTTTCCTTTCTTCAACTGGTGAGTGTTCAGCATTTCTTTGGAACACTCTTGCGAACTACTTTCTTGTTTACATACAAGAAAGTTGGTTTCACTGGGCTATGCGCTTCCGTACCCTGGGGCCTCTTTGGTATCTGTTGCTGTTTTGCTTGGCTGCACTCAATTTATAGGCATAAGGTCCCTACAGGAGCCCTTTTACAAGAAGCGCTAGAGTCATCGGGGCTGCCCCGGAAAATGGGAAAGTGGCAATTCCTAATGATCCCTAAAGAAAAGCTATAGATGAGCTTGACTTGGAAGAATATCAACGGAAAGGAAAGTCAGTGATTGATCCAACCCCACCTAGTGGGTAAATTTATTCTTTTTCATCAGAATTTTAGATAAAAAACACTATCAAAGATTAACCGTGGAAGCTGTATATCAAGGTTTTCTGAATAATAGGCTGCTGGTAGAACAGATCCGAGTGACCATGGTATCTTGCTCCAGTAACGTCAAGTAAAGAGGATAACGAAACAATCGTTACGAATGATACCGATCATTGATTGCCACTTTTGTTCAAGCCACAATGATTTCGCTTCAGATAAAATACCCTCTTCTGTGAAGCGAAGCACACTCTGGATAGGCAAATTGCAATTTCAGAACAACCCTCCAAGCAAGTTTATCTGCGTGTTACAATATCGATGCTTATTTCTGTGTTCTCTAGACAGAGATCTTTGGTCGGATATAGAAGAAAGTGGATCAAAAGAATCCAAGAGGAAATCCTCTCTTCAGAAGAATGGGAAAGGCCGTGTTTTCCATATCGTAATCAGATCAGTGCTTCACTAATTGAAAGATTGAGCAGACTTTAGTATGGCACAGAAAAACGAATGTCTTGTTTGAAAATGGAGGACAAATCCCTTCAACAATATTTATTTACTTCCTCAGTTTGTGCTAATGGGTACGGCCTGAGCAATTTTTTGGATAGGTGGCAGAAACTTGGTTCCTTCTATGATCAAGCACCTGAAAGCAACTGAAAAAGTCGTTGGTACTTTCCTATCAACTACTTAGCTGAGTTGAAACTTTCTTCAGTAGTTCTTCTCACTGGTTATCACGAGTCACCAAGGAGCATTGGAAAAACGCATCATGGGATGGATCTTGAATAACTAAATTCCTCTCATTTGACTATTATTAGCTTTTTTCGCAATAAGACCTTCGGTTAACTCATGATTTTCTTCTTGTGTGATAAGTTCTAATCGGTAAAGGCGAAAGTTTCAGATTAATGGAAGTACTAGCTAAGAGTTGAGAAGGAATGAGATTTGAAAGCACAAGTCAAGAAAGTTTCTGATAACCATCATAGGTTTCGATTGAATATGCTGTATATGCACAAGAATAGCAGCCTTGCCTAGTATTTAGAAGTCAGAGATGAAAATTGGCGGTTCCATATAAACAAGTTGTGAACATTTGGTTTCAAGATTGCAATTTGCTGGAGGCTGTGCTTGAATAGCTAGTGAGAAACACGTAACAGCAAGCCAGGACTCTACTTATATCGACACGTCTGAATGTATTTTCCTTTCTTTCCCTTTTTCGCAAAGTTTCATTGACCCATGACCAAGAAAGTAGAATTATTAATTAATTGAATTTGACAAGTGAAATAAGCATAATAAAAGAAAAATAAATAAACATCATAACATGCTGCACAAACTCTCCCTTTGTCACATGTACTAATAATAAGTTCCTATCCTACATAGAACTTGAAGGCCAAAATGAAAGTACAATAACTCTCTCAAACCCCCGCAGCAAGAAATCATGATTTACCATTTAATTCATTTAAAGTCAGTCCTGTTACAAACATAGCACTCTCAATCTCAACACTCCCATTCTTGGGGGGAAAAAGAAAAGTCATTTCATTTTATGCTGAAATGAAATTAAAATGCACCAGACCAGAAAATATAACCACTTGTTTTTTCAGCTGTAATATACAAGCAGGGACAAAACTATAATTTCTTCTTCATCACTCTTCCTTTCTTGATTCATTTTCCTTCTTTGCGCAATCGGAATGTTTTTCTTCAAGAATGTTGTTGCTTTATCATTTTCTTGCATACAAACTCTAATATTGTGTTGGATCCGCTCTATCTCATCTTCCTGTGTTGAGGCATGGTAATTTTTGCCGCATTACCCACTAATCCTAACGCACTTGTTCACATGTTACAAATACTAAAATCTCCATTAATTGTTCGTACATTCCCCCATCATGGTTATTACTCCTTCAACTATTTCTGCTTTTCCCTCTCTCACCACATCTTGCTCATATCCTTCAGCGCATGTGGCAAAAACACAACGCTCCAGCCTCTCAAAGTCCTCTTGAGCAAAATGGAATGACAGTAGATAAAACATCTCTTGTCATCCTCCAGCTAGCAGAACCATTAAGTAAGATTCAAAAGTAGCTTCATTACTCTCTCTTGCCAAACCCTGACTGGGTCTGTGAGAATGGCTCAAAAGAGTAAGATTCTGCTTTAAAAGTCTCACGGCTGCCTAATTTCTTGAATTTGCTACATCACCTAAGCATAAAGGTTTTCAATATAAAGAACAAGAAAGTTCCGAGTCGAGGAATAATCAAACGATATGCAGCAACTTTCTGATACATATGACAGCAGCTTGAATGGAAGATGGGCTAATTCAAAGTAGGAAATGAAGTAGGCAGTGGGACTTGTGCCTGCGATGCTAGGCATGGCGAGTACGGGCCTGTTGATGGATATGGAGCAATTGCAAGAAGTCCTGTCTAGAGAATGAAGGAGAAAGAAAATAATGCGAGAGTGGTTGAGTCGGATAAAGGCTTGAGTTCCTCGACATAGTTGATCGTCTTGGATGATAGCTTCTGCAACTGTTCCTCGCTGTTGATGCTGCTCTTCTGAGCTAATACTGCAAGGATAGCTTCTTCCATAATTTGAAAGAACTTGCGAGTCCGGTTGCATCTAGATTAAGGGAGGGTATGTTAGGGACATAATTCTGTTTTGAAATCCTGAAATAGCCAAATCCAAGAAAAAGAAGAGATAATAAAATATATTTCAAGCATCTTGAATTTCTACGAAGTAAAATATTCTTACCAACAAGCTTCTACAAACTTTATGAATCTGTGAAAAGAATGCCAAACCTTGGGCGAGATCAAGTAACAAGTTCATCAGTAATTCCAACAGGAATTCAAAGAATTCCTCCACAGTTTCCTTAGTCTATTTCTCCAATCAACCTCCACAGCTTGATTGTGCATAAGGTTCGTTTTTGGATTCGGATTCCATGTCTGCAAACATAGATTTCACCAATTCATTTCTACTATGTTTGACAATAACAACTATGCACATAAAATCTTATATATGGAGTTTTTTATTTTTGAAAAAAAAACCGTGGACTTTACTTCAGTATCTCTGCTCGGAGAAAACACTCTGCTCTTTTTGATCTGCTCATGCAATCCATTGTTCATGACCCCATTATAACAGAATCAACTTCATATGGAACCATCTCACGCACCAATTGTTTTTCCTCCACGCTTCGCAATCTGCTAAGTCTTCAAACACATTTGTACCGAAAACTTTTCCAGCTTCCTGCTCTCTGCAAATATTCTCTTTTCAAAACTCGCTAATTGACGCGATACATCCCCAGGCTGAGATATCGTTTTAAGACTTGCTCCATAAAGCATTGGTGCTATTGTTACAACGCAACACTAGCTTGCAATTGTGTGCTCCATTTCCTCTAATAAAGGACTAAAACTTTCCCTCTCTCTAAGCCAATCCTCAGTTTTCTTAGGCTAATTGGAGCAGTAGCCGTCGCTGCCTCTATTTCACGTGCCACCGTGCTCTTATAGCTTTCCTTGTTAATTATCTGGTAAAGTCTGCATGTATTACAGTTAGAGAGTGTTCAGTCCAAGTGATCATAAGCAATCGAGTTTGGCATGTTGTGTTTGGAGAAAACGATCTTATTTAATTTTTTCCTAGCACATATAAAGTATGATTTTGGAATGCAGTTTCAATGCTTTGGAGCCATAATATGTACTGTATATGATATATATATATATTAATTAATATATATAATAAGAACCAACCTTTGCCAAATTGTCATTCTTTAGATATAGCTCGAATATAGTTGATTCGACGCGTATCCCAGATGAATTCGAATCATCGTTCATCATTCTTCTTTCCCTTCAATAATTAGTGAAACATGCCTCACGCTAAAATCTAGATGCTTGATTTATAATGCGAGAGGCAGTAGAATTTTCGATAAGAAAACATTTCCTCTTTGAAATAGTCATGATAAGAAGCTAATTCCCTCTCTGCTCAACCTTTGCATTGAAGCCTAATCATAGAAGACAAAAGCCTTGAAATTAAATAAGTCTCTCTATCTGGCCCCTTCTTTAGCATCATTGTATGCTTAACCTCTTGGTTGATAACAAGCATTATATGCGCGTCGTAGAAGAAGAGCAGTGCCTCAGTCGTGAAGTAACTGAACATATGGTTTGGATTAAAGGAACCCAAGTGTAAGCCAACAATATTATGTATAGATCTGATTTTAGATTCCTATGTGTATGTCCATGGTTTTCTTCATAACTCAACAAGCTTCTATCGACTTCAAGTCAAGGACTAATGTCTTCAGTCTTCTGAAATCAATATTATTGCTTGAAGTAGCAAGTGTATGAGTAAATGATTGAGAGAAGCCATCAGTCCCAATCAACAAACAATCGAATATGGTTGCAGTCCATATGGCTATCGCCAAGTACAAGGGAAATCAACGTCTGAGTCTGTCACAAGGCTCTCAATTTTTCTGAATTTTTGCTTGTTGTCTAACGGTTTGAGTCACTAGAAACGGAGATTCAACGGAGATGCAATAGCAAAAAGGAGTCGATTTTCTAGTGGGATGCTGGGTGGAGGAGAAGCCCCAGCTCAAAATTTGAGCTGACGCTGTTGCCAGAGATGAATAATTCGTGCCATATCATTGAATCTGAGGTTTAGGTGGCGTAGCAGCTCCAGTGGAAAGGATATTGCCTCGTCTTGCTTCCCATCTGAAGTGATTAAAGGAAGATAGCAACTTGGTCATGAAGAATACAGCAAAGCCAAACTTTGTTCCTAAACAACAATAAGTTTTTTTTACGTTGCATCTTAAAATTCATTAATGACAATGGACAATCCCATGTAATAAATATATAAATTTTTTTGGTTAATCATGTAATTATTGAAATGCGATTTATGGTAAGAGGAAAATGGGTAAAATCTTGCATGCAAAAATGTTTTTGATTTTATTTAAACATACCACCAGTACTGACTTGGCCAACCAAACTCCTCATTAACGTTTCTCAATCTATTAGTCACTTGCTCAGTGACCCCCATCTGTACCTCATAATCTCCGCCGACGTAACGAGGCCGCCTTGGCCTTCGAGCCGGAAAGTATTGAAACGACAGGCCCAGGGCTAATTCCGCCAGCAATGATGCATTGGCGCGTTTGGAGGACCTCAGGCGCCGACCCTCCACTGACCCCTTCCTCCCCGCCCCCACCGGTAGCCGACGCTAGACATCCTCCTGGACGGGCACCGCCTGGAGCAATCTTTAACCTAAAGGCCCGTTTAAAATCTACTCGCGGATCATCACAACACCGGACCACAACCCGGTCCGCCTCCGATGGTCGCAAAACCAGAAGCCCGACGTACGACGCAGATCCTCCATGTCATCATGAGATGTGGTCGATTAAGTAAAACGTTAAGAGCATTCTTGCCAAGCCGCCAAAACCGGAAGAAGATCGGCAAGCGGTAATAGGAAAAACCTCATATGCGGTTTCTCGAATGTCTTCGCGTCGAGGCCGGGTATGTCTCCGAAAGGGCCCATGTAAGGTTCGGCTGTCGGCGGGGTCCCTGGCAACGATAAGAGGGCCAATAAATTGAAGGACAGAGAAGGAAGGTGGATTGGTGAGCCATATGAATGTCGTAGCAAGTAAAACACACGGCAGTCACTACGGCAAATGCAAAATCTCTGGTCAGATGTCCGGCGGGAGAGGGCAGGGACAGAAGTAGCATAATTGTTTGAAAAAAAGAGAAAGGAGTGACAGAGAAAAACGGAGAGGAAAGACAAGAAAATATATTAATATATATATTGCATGGAGGATTGGTGGTTTTGTATATTACAGCATTGTGTACCAAAGAAACAATGCCTGCTTTGCGAGGAAACACGAACAACATATGGTGGTTATATTACCAAATATTCTTCCTTTAATTTTATTACCAAATTATTTATCCGCTCCCGCCTATTTTCTTTCGTTTTTTTAGTAGGTGTGCATTTCTATATTAAGTTACTGCTTTATACTGTTGTAAACGCACATCTTCAATAGTCCTCTAAAATTTCTGTTATAATTAATTACTTTCTTTAAGGGCAAATAGTCCTCTCCAAAATTTATTTCATCTAAACCAGATATAAGTTTTTACAGCAATTTAGAGTGTATCCATTTAAGCCGATTTCGAATTTGGAATTCCTGATTCGAATATACAGATCAGAATCAATTTATTCAGAAAGTCAAATAGAATGGTTTCTAGAATTGTGGTCAAACAGTTATGACGTGGGAACTTGGTAAACTTGACCATATTTCAGTCAGTTGGATCCATTCCAATATCTTTCAAAAAGATAACTGAATTAGGCTCATTTCAATAGTAACTAAAATTGTAATTTTTTTTTTTCTTCTAAAAAACAAAAAAAAAAAAACGACATTCTATAGAATTGTGATTTAATTATATTAAAATTCTTCCTCAGAATTAAATTCGTAAAATTGAAATTTACCACTTTTTATTATCAAAACATAAAAATTAAGATTTTAATTTTAATAAATTTATAAATTTATGAAAATTCATTAATTTTCAAAAGTGTTGATTAAATTTTTATAATTCTAAGCCGAGAGAAATTTGGATTGCGTAGAAGATAAGTCCCTTCTTGTTAATAAAAGCGATTTTTTAGAAAGAGTATCGATGCTTCAAATTGGAAAAAATTTACATCAAACTCATCGAATGAGCTCACTTTAAAAAAAAATAAAAAGAAAAATAAAAGAAAAGAAGTATGGTCAATAGTTGGAATTCTAAACCAGATTCGGGATTGTGGGGCCCGGGAAAGATACCGGTAATAAAGTTAAAATAAAATTCAACTATTACCACATATTATCCTCCATAATAATTCGGTATTGGATTATGACGATCAAATCCACAGAAATAAATAAGGCAACGTATAAAATTAAATAATTACCCGTAAATTCGTCAAGATGAAAGATTAAGAACACCGAGATTTATGTGGTTCACCCTGCAACCTGTTTGGGGTCCTACGTCCCATCGAGTCAAAAAATCTTGATAATTCTTCTATCTAAAATATTTAGGTGACAAAAGAGATACAAAAAGTGGTACTTAAGTTTATTTTAACAAAAAAAACAGCCCCAAAATCAAACCTCACTATTTTCCCTTTCCAATTGAAACCCTTTCCTAAAATTTATGACACTAACAACACTCTATGTAATTCTGTATGCTTTGTTTGTACAAGTAATGAAATCTTTCTCGCTCTATTTTATAGAAGAAAGGACGCGTAAACGCTCCCACCGATATGGATGCAATTAATCACGCGTCCAAGACTTTCCAACAAATTTTTTTTTTCTTTCTTTGTAGGCAGTCTTCTCTTTGACTGCCAAACAAAAAATGTGTTTTAATTATTATTTTTTTTTCTTGTTCAAATGTCTGTGGGTCACCCACAGTGGGAGGCTCTACAACAATTTGTCTTCCCCTCCCCACTAATATGGTGACTCCCATCCCGCCGCTTGACACCAGTTCGAATCTTATCCTTCGAAACGCATTGTCAATATATCCGCAGCATTTCTTTGTCCTGTTGGAAGTTCCACAGGCTGAACTGCTCCTTGCACATGGGCAGTCTAAGCCAAAGAATATCTTACACAATGTGCTTCGTCCTGCATGATACAGTATAGCTTTTGCTTAAGTCCTAACGCACTTTGACGATCACCAATAAACATATATTCTTCCTCTTGCACACTCAATCTAAAAGAATCGCATTAACCAAAGCGATTCCTCCTGCTTTCGTGCTGCAGTATACGTACTCTGCTTCATCCTGTTGATGAAGAACACATTTTTAATAATCTCAGACTGCCATGGAAAAGCTCCCCTCTGAGAATGTAAATAAAGTCGATGGTAGGATTTTCTTTTCATTCAAAGATCACGCCATATATGCACTGTTGTAACCAACCAAGTTCAGCCTGTTTCACCTCCAAAGTTAAACATGAAACTTGAAGGTTCCCTCAAGGTATCTGAAGATCCACTTCACTGTTCCCCCAGAGTTCTTTTGGGGATTTGACATAAAAGTCTGACTCACAACGCCAACTTGCATGAACGTACTGTCTTGTACACACCATTGCGTACATTAAACTTCCGACCGCTGAAGATACATGGAACATCTTGACATATCTCCTTGTCTTCTCTGTGGTGTAGGATTTTGTTAACTCAACGTTTGAAGTGAGCGGCTAGCGGAGTGCTAACTGGTTAGGTGCATTCTGATATTGAACCCTCTCGTAGAACCCGTTTCAATATATTTTCCTGTATAACCATAACCGCAGACTTCGTCTCGAATTGTGACATGTCCTACTGAATGAGTAGTTTGCATAAGGAGCGAGTCGAGTCGAGTCGAACTAAAACCCGGGTTCTAGCCATTAAATCAGAGTGGGGAAGGTATGTGAACTAAAAAGAAGTTAAAAGGAAGTTGGACTGTTACTTGAATGAAAACACAAGAAAAGTATAAAGAAGTAGGACTTTACTGTCACTAGAAATAATAAGTTTAGGGTATAAAATGTTAACATATGGAAAATGTGAGGTACTATTGTATTTTTAACAGTTACAATCAAAAGATATATTGGATTACACGAGAACTTCCCATTTCAGTTTGCTTTCTTCATTTTCTTCATCTTCATCTTCAACGTCTCTTCATCTCCTCATCTTTCTATTTCATCCCTCCTTATCCAGTAAGTTTCAAATATGATTCAAACACTAAATTCAACTCAGACTCTAAATCGCAAGTAAGTAAGCATTCTTGAATTCATACTTGTGAATATTTTAGGTGATTTATAAGAGTTATTATGTATAGAGGGTAGCTCAAAAGTTGGAAGAAAAGGAAGCTAAGAAAGGAGTTAAAGCTCTTTTGTTTAAGGGTATATCTTCTTTTAGTTTAACAATATTTCTTGCATGAAACTTGTGTAGGGTTGATGAATGGTGAGCAGATCGGTTGCTGATGTTGATAAACGGTTTCTTGGAAAGTATGAAAAAAGCATGGATGAAATGATAAATGAAGTAGATTATTGATTCATGCTGAACTAGTTGTTGGAACCACTGACCAGTAATTCACCTCCTGATTTTGAATCACCTAAATTGGACTTATAAAATTGAGAGATATGACCAAACTATACAGCTGACTGAAACCAAAAACAGTCCTGCGCGGACTGGAGTTGCCTAATTATGT